TTACTAACAACTTTATCATTCTTAAAGGGATACTATGCGATCCTGCAGAGAGTTTGTTTATCAACAAACTCATGAACGCGCATTGCCATGTTAACCAGTCCTACTCTGAAATATAGCAGAATCCGCAGCGTCTGCTGTCCGAGAGCAAGTTAGCCTCAATAAGAGGGCATGTTTTAGCAGTACTGTAGAAGGTGTGACAACAAGCCTGACAATACTTTTCTAAGCCTAAATCTAAGACACGGAGTCTAGTTTATCAGTAGGATTATCGAGAGGAACTTCAATAGTTACAATTCGTGAACAAACATCAAACGAACAATATGTGTAAGCACACAAACGCAGCATCCAAAACACAACAGCGTAAAAAACTAGCGAGTTATTTGAAATGGTTACAAAAATACAGTGACTAATAAGACTTGGGAAGCACAGGAGTGACTGTTTATCTCCAGGGCCTAAGTCAGTGCTAACTTTGGTTCTAACCTCCTTCATTCTTTATTCAACAGTTGGCAGCAACACACAGGAGCTCCTCTTTAGTCCTGAGAAGCTACAGTCTTTATTCACCGGCCACTGTAACTTCTACTGTACATTTACTGCTGAACAACAAGCCTTATTGCTGACCCGTTTCTCTCTATTCTCCGGGGCTCTGTTCATACCGGGTTCACACACGCGTTACGTCTATTTCTCCTCTACCGCACACATACAGACCGCGGCGGCTAAGCTAACAAAGCTAACCAGCTGGGATCATCACAAACATGATAACTGACAGACAAGACAGTAATACTGAACCTGTCGTTGATGTGGAACAGCAAAGCTAACGTTAGCCTACTCACCTGTCCAGCAGAGCAACCTCAGCATCGGTTTTCATTCCTTTCTAATCTCGTAGATTTATCCAGCATTGAAACCCCTCACAGATGTTAACAAAGGTCTTCCCCTCGCCTGGTCATATAACTTGTCTCACAGTTCCTCAGACCTTTCCCTCTGTGGCAGTTTCTCAGTCATCTTCACAGCTATAGAGTCCCATAAGAAGTCTGTTTGTTTACATTCTCTCTCCCACTGCTTCGAGTGCGCCACCACCACCTGCTGCTCGCTCCGAGCAGCTTTGTTTGTGCTCAGTTTACAGACGCAGGGGCTGTGTAGGAAAACCGGATTTTTTTTCAGAGCACAGGAAAAACAGAGAGCTACCGACCCATGAAGAAATATTCGCCGAATTTAACAAAGTTTATTGGATAAGAATCGCAAAGTACCCCTTTAAATTTGGTAACATCAGTGGAATTCCAGCTTTACACACACTCAACCTGAGCAGTGGGCTTTTTTAACCAGAATGAAACCAGTGAAAACATCTGTGTGGGTGTTGCATATCTGACACTTAGATATCTATTATAATATAGTCATGGGCTGCATGCTAACACTTCAATTTTCTCTCATTAAAAGGTTGAGAATGAAGGACAGAGGGTGTCCTATCTCATTCAGACTGTAAATCCCCCTGAGGCAAATTAATGATTATATAGATAAAAATTACTTAACTTAAAAAATACACTATTTTGAGTTTCAGTTGGCCACACAGTGTCCGATGTAGAAAACTGACTTTGTAGTAATAAAATTGTAATTATGTTTAAATGTCTCGTTATGATAAAAATTTCTTAATGTATTTTCAAATAACACCCATTTTGGATATCCAGTGCCGATTTGTTTACAGTTTATATTCTCTAGTATTTTCCCTGTGTTTTTTGTGACATGTGAACAGCATTTTCTGTCTTGATCGCAGCATCCTTGGATCAGCTCTAGTCTTTTATGTGTTTCAGTGCAGAGTGGGACAAGAATGTTTGAGTAAATCTCTTAATGTGACATGCATATAGGAATGGTAATTAGCAGGCTCACTACCTTTAATTAGCGGGTTTAAATGGAGGAAGGCTATCGCTAGCTGTCCTTTTGATGTGTGTGGGAGATGTTATGCAAATTAAGTGGCGTTTGTTTGTGTGTGTTTAAAAAAAAAAAAGGGCACACGTGAAGATAGACCAGCATTTTTGATCTCATGAGATGTCTACCTGTCAGAGTGGGTTGAACCAATACTAAACCTCACAAATGCTCAAATATACGAAACACTATGCGTGTAACGTGTTTACGTGAGTGTGGTGTTATGTGTGTGTTTGTACCCCTGTGAGAGGTGCAGATGGAGCACAAGGGATGAGAGAGGTAACTGTGCTAATTATGCTTCCCCCTTTCCTCTCTAGCATAGTACGGCATATTTCCTTATGCACTGCAAAGTAATAACCAGTTGCTCTGTGAAAAGCATGAAATCAGAGTCTATTCATCCATCAGGCTCCCAGCTTGAAAAGAATGTACCCTGCTGAAGAGCATCTTTGATTGAAACGTTGTCAGTCATGGTCACATTATGAATGAAAGAGTATGTATACTTGGGAGCGTCACAGCAGTGGGTTCATGGTTACTAAGCACCTGCACAGCCCTTGTTGTCCTTTATGTGCAGTTTTAAAAATACAAATTTGATAAAAGCAATTTTAAACCACCTGTTTTGTGCCTTCCTTCTGCAAAAATATTCTATGCCATTATTGATATCCTTTTCAGTTTGTCCTGACATGTGACCTCTCCTTTTGATTGTTCACTTTACATTTTCAGTTAGAAATGTAGTAAAGTGTCTCAATAGTGTTTTTTTTTTTTTTGCAGGAGCTTATTGTATAAAGAGTCCAGTTGTTTACGCTGGGCTTCAGTTTGCTTGCCGACGCCTCATGGTAAAGTTATTTTTGCGATACTAGTGCTGTAATAAGTCGAACAAAAAACTGATCAATATCAACATTGTGGACGGGTGGCAGTAGTGCAGTGGATAAGACACATGCCTTTGGTGTGGGAGACCAGGGTTTGATTCCCACTGCGATAATGTGTGCCTGAGAAAGACACTTAACCCCTAGTTGCTCCAGAGGTGTGCGACCTCTGACATGTATAGAGCAATTTTAAGTTGCTTTGGATAAAAGCACCCACTAAATGAGTAAATGTATTAATATGTTTTGTAGATGGAATCTTTAGGGATTTAGACTATTACAAAATAAGCAATTTTAAGACGTCACCTTGACTCTGGGGAGTTCAAATAATTCGTAATTTGTCTCTGTTTTCTAACATTTTATAGATTAAATTATTGATCAGTAAATAAAAAATGATAATAATGAATTGTTAATGAAAACAATAGTTAGTTGTAGTCTTAATAACACTTAATACCACTGCTCGTTATGGAGCAAATGGGCCAAATGAAATACGCAAATCTCTTTCATATTTTATTGGACCTCACTTAAGCTTCTCTTGCTCTTGTCCTCATAAGTGCAATGGCTGTACGACAGGTGCAATGGTGTAGTAGTACTGAAAGATTTTCAGACCGGCTTCCTGCTTGACTGACTTACTTGTTGATTGACTGGTCTGTTGGCTTACTTTACTGACTTTGGCAACACTTACCGAGTGACTCATTGACCTACTGGTTCACTGCCTGCTGTGGTCATTTGTACCCGCCTTTTGAAATGATCACAGTTAATTGCTGTTATTCTATACGAGTGTCTGTCCTCGAGTGAGCTAACTAACAATGAGTCAGCAGCAGTAACAGAAGTAGCTGTGCCACTCAGCACTACCGGTTGTAGTTGCACCTGGACAAGCACACATGCAAACTAGCACACACACACACACACAAAAATATGCTTGCAACAGGATGTGGGTACTGAGAGGAGGCACTGTACAGTACTAGGAGAGATTGTGCATCATCTTCACAATCACATTGGTAAATGCTGGAGAATGTCATCTATATTCAAGTTAACAAAGCAGGTGTTGTGATGTATGTGGCAGGTAATCATCCCATATACGCCACAGGATGTAGTACCAGCAAAACAATCATTGAAATGAGATTTTCTCTCTGAGGGTGGAGGATGAGGGGTTTTAGTTTTTCTAATCTAGAAAGCTCTCTGATAATGCTATATAACCTGGATTAGCAGAACAGAAATATGGAGCTGGAGGAGGAGCCACATGTGAGGCTGAAATGAGTGTCTGGGTGTTGGATTGGAAACTAGTGTTCACGCTGCTATCAAGCCTACAGCCAGCACCAGATTAAAATGAGATGAAACTTCAATGATTCCTGCTGGGGAGTTGGGTGGTTTCAACAGCGGATAATGGGACTCGGCGGAGGAAAATATTCCTTTTCGCAGGGAATTGAGTGGTGTTTTGTTTTTAGCTGGGGTGAGATAATCAATCAGCCCCCGATCATAATTGGCTGGCAGACATTTTAAATAGGTCGTTTGCCACCTGATGCACACAATAACATCATTAAATGAAATGCTTCTTCTGATTTAAATCTGTATTGACTTTTTAAATATTAGATTTAATAGGGTGTCATGTTAACACAAACAAATAAGCTGATATACTCTTTTCTTTTTGTAGCTTCATTATGAAATATGCAAGGAGTTGTGTTGAAAACCTGTGGATAATACAACAGTGATATGGAATCAAGAGATGACAACAGCCTTGATTTAAATTCATTAAGTTGAGATACATTTTTGGTAACTTTGAGATAAACATTATGAAGGATACTGAAATAGGTGGCAGATTGTCTCAAATATATCCAGGCTGTATCCAGGCACCTCAAATGATCACGTACCGTAACATGTACAGGCAATGCCAACAAGGACTCAACCTTGTACATGCAGCGCTCGCTCTACCAACTGATTCTGATTCTTATCTAAAAATAATGTTGAGATATCGTTATGAAACTGTTTGTTTATATATAATGTGTTTGTTTGAAACATTTATTTATATAGACAGCTATATCCTTTATCAGATGTTTTCAAACTTTACAACAGTGGTACAAACCTCGAAAATCCTGTCTCATTTGGGCTATAGACAAAACCCCACCGCTGTCTGAATAATCACAGAATTCTCTGTTACAGCCTAAAGTTGATTTTCCTCTTTAACTCACTTCATTTGCCTCTTCTCCTCCTCTTCTTCCTCCCTGTCAGATGATGAAACATGCGTGGGACAGCTACACGCGCTACGCCTGGGGTTCCAATGAGCTCCGGCCCGTCTCCAAGCAAGGCCACTCCAGCAATCTATTTGGTGAGTGAGAGACCATACACAAACACGCACGATTGATCTCCTGTCCCTGCCACCAGCGGCCTTGGCCTTTCAGATTAGCAGCCAAATTGGCCGTCAGTTAGAGCCATCCATAGATGGATGGCTCTAAATGTCAACTTTATCATATATTTATATTCTGTTTGTGCTACTTGCCAGTTGTTGGTGTCTATGCTGTTAATGAGTGTGGTGACATGAGGGCATCTTATTCTGATTCTTTTTCTCTGTTTCACACAACTCTGTTCTGAAAGTCTTGATTCTCCATCTGCCTTTCAGCGTGCTGCTAGATGACTGCAGGGCCTCAGTAATAAATATTACGTACACATGTGCTCACACAGGAACTTTGTTCATGAAACCAGTCTCCCTACTGTGACTGGGACGATTGATCAACCCCCAGTTTGGGTGTGTGCATGTGCAGCAGAAGCCAAATTAAACTAGGATAATAATTCCATCTTTTTTAAGTCCTTTCTTTTCCCGCCAATCACACACACATACATACACACTACATGTTGCTCCCTCCTCATGTTGTCGCATTGTGTTTAATTGGCTGCGATTGTCGGCTTAAAAGCTGGACTTGAGAAATGCCCCCAAAGTGAACATGAAGCAAAAACGAGAGGATCCCACAGATCTGTTATAACGGCACATGAGCCAATGGCAAAGGATCAGTACAACTCATTAAAACTGTAATACCATGATCACACTTAATCTGCAATGTATTTGGTTTTCTCGTAATTGTTTGAAGAGATAAAAGGACCAGTGACTTGAAAGTATTGAGATAAAGCTGCTTAGGGTTTGAATGTTTAATATTTAAAATGCAGTCCTGAAACTGATATTTTTGATGCACTTTTAGCTTTGCAGAGGAGGTGCACTCAATCTTGTGAACAATTATAATAAAAAAAGTTTAATCTTTACAGAGACTGTCAGAGTGGTGTACATGTTGCTTTTGCAGGTGGTATGTGTGTACTCGTGTCGTTACACATAATGAGTGCTGTAATTTATTCTGTCTGATTGGATTAATAAAAGCAGGAATTTTTTAATTTGTTATCTCTCTCTCTGTCTCTGTCTCTCTCTGTCTCTCTCTGTCTCTCTGTCTCTCTCTCTCTCTCTCTCTCTCTCTCTCTCTCTCTCTCTCTCTCTCTCTCTCTCTCTCTCTCTCTCTCTCTCTCTCTCTCTCTCTCTCGAACTAATTAAATTCTTATATATAAATAATTAAATAGATACCTTCAGCTCCAGATGAGGGCTTTGGGGGTGGTGTATGTGGCAGTTTAGGGTAGTGCTTTTGCAAGCTCTTGACTAGATAAGATGCCATTCATGGTTGAAAGAGGTATCTGTGCCTTCACTGCTGATAAGACCTGTCTCATGACACCACCAAAATACACTCACTCACTTGATCTGTTTTGAAGTTTTATTTTTTAAGTGGTGTATTTTTTTGTCACGGTGCAGGTCTGAGTCAGTGAAGCCAGTAGCAGAGAAACCATTCATATTAGAGTTTTCTTCTCCTCTGTAACAGCAGTACAATCCCTTTTAAGATAATTTCTGGTAAACTGCCTGTAATTAAGAGAAGAATTCATGTGAAATGGACCAGGGGCCGTATTACAGAAAATTCCTAACCAGCAGATCCTATCCTAACTGCTTGGTAACCATGGTAATAAGAGTTAGGAACTGATGTAGGAAAAAGGCCATTACAGATTAACAGTTCCTAAGTCAATTCCTAACTAAAGATAGGAAAAGTGATTTGCAGAAGCATCCTAACTTCGTAAAAAAAAATACCAAATTGACAAATATCCTATCTTAGACTCTTCCTATCTTTCTGTAATATGGCCCCTGTTGACTAGAAGAAAGTAGAAAAATGGAAATGGTGTTATTCCTAATGGTGATATAAATAAATTGTTTTTAGCTTGGGGCCAGCAGAAAAAAGTGTAAACGCATCACCAACACATAATCACTGTATAATGATGTTACAGCTAGCATGTTTGTAAACAGTGTCCTATTTACACATGTAGCAGACATGTTGTTCTGGCGATAGTGACGCCAATATTCAATCTCCTTTTAACTCTGCGTTTCTTGAGTTTTGAGGGATTTATTTGGCTTTATATCTGCTAAATGCTCCACTAAGTTCACCAGCTAGCTGCACACTTTGTCTGTCAACAGTTTGGTGCTGGGCAGATAACGTAGGTTTTTAGCTGAAAACAGTGGTGAGAGTGAATCAAAACAAAGAGCTTTAAAAATGCTGTTTAGAGCTGAGGGAAACTACAGGTTTGGGTGATAATTGTATGTCTGTCCCTAACCACAAACAACCTCTTTCACACTACACATAATAATTTAAAGCTTTGTTAACGTATAAATATGGATTAGTGCAGCTTTAAAGAACATTTTAGCAATGGTCAGATTATCCTTTTTAGTGTTTGTAATGTTCATTTTATATATTGATTTTAAATCAAAGGGAAGCACTTTAAAACCTTCTAATGCACCAAATAACAACTACACTGAACCTTAACCTTGGGACACACATGAGGAACACAAGTCATTTGTCCTTCATTAGATATTTGTTTAAAGTGTCACATCACATAGCTTAAGCTTATGTTGTGTAATTAGATTGCTGAAGTTGACCTCCAAGGCCTGTGATTAGCACTGGTTAATAGAATTGTTTTCTGTGTCGTTGTGTTTATATTCAGAGTGAGTTTTATGTCTAATTATTGCGGTCTTACATTAGTCCTTTAATGTGTTTTTTTTATTGTTTTTTTTTTTTAGAGCCTTCACGGCATAAAAAGGCAACGAGCATGATGTGGAATTATTTTTCGGGCATCATATCTCTGAGGTGTTTCTAGCTCTTACATTATTAGTAGAACAGAGTTTGCATTATTTGTGTCAAGGTAGTAGAGCTGAGCTGTTGACTTTTGGGCTTCTACTCTGTATTATAACACTATCATATTACCAAAGTGGCATGATGACAGCACTTTGAACGTACTAGGAAGGAAGCTTGAATCTGTGTAGCACCACAATGATTAATTTATAACTACATGGTATGCTGTGACACAAAAATTGCAGCTCCTGTGTTTGGCTATTGCACCTGGCCATGTTGCGAATTCAATAATATTTAGATTAATTGTGTTTTTTTTTTTTTTTTGTCTCTCTACATTCAGTCCCTTCTGAGAGACTTTTTTCCGCTTTACCTTTCAAAAAAGGATTGTCAGGCAACTCTTGTTCTTAGTATATTTAGGGAAATACATTTTATGAGACGACTTTGGCGTAAATCCTTGAATAAATAAGTAATGGCATGTGCCAAATGGACACACAGGCCCTACATGAGAGTTTTGAAAGAAGCTGTTTTCATAGAAGTACCTAGATTGCCTTTGGGGAAATGCCAAAACTCCCACAAAGTCTATTCCATTATACAGTGTGGAAGATTTTACAGGCTCATTTTTAATGATTGCCTTCTTATGTTTAATGAGGAAATTCAATCAGCTTTGTGTAAATTCCATCCACTGTTTCATTACCGGAATTTATCATACGTAAATGTATGAAGTGAGGGGAAAGCAGCCGTGTGAATACTAACTGTTGGATTAGCCCGTTCAACTGTCTGTGTTAGTGTGTCTCTCTGTTTCCTTCTCTCTATCCATCCCTCACGTCTGCGGTATATAGAAAAGTAAATAGGTTTTAGTTGGCTGCTCCTGCAGACCCACTCCCATCAGTAAATAAGACAGCTGTGCCCCAGGGCCTTGTCACAGCCGTTTCCAACTCCTATAGAACATGACGTATGATGATAACATTAGCCTGACCTGGAATATTATGCAATGAAGCCATACCTGAGGCTGTTGTATATCCTGATATATAATAACCTTAGTACAGCTGGTTCAAACTAGTCAGGAGAATTGAAAAAAACTTTGTTAGCTGTAGTAAAAAGGTTCTGGGGGTCCTTTATAAATATTAATCATGATAAATATTGCTAGAACTACATCATGCTCTACTACTAAAACAAGCCATGTTGTATTTTATTCAAATAAAATAAAGATTAAGGTTAACATAGTATCACAGCACTTGCACCTGTGTTTGTAGTTATGTCTCCATGAATCATACTCATGCAGCTTTATGTCTGCTCATTCCTCCTCCTGGTCATCCAAGTGAAAAAAGCTCCTCACATTTTAGATATTCAGTATATTATCATTAAAGACTAAGAAAGCTGTAAATCCTTAAATTCAGAGCTGGAACTAGGTAATGTTTCAACTAATCAACTTTTATACAAATGACAAATTTAGCTCTAATAAATATAACATCCATTACTCTTTAATCAGTTTTTGTAACTAATATGTTCTTCAAAATAAAATACAAAAATATGATACTCATATTTGCATAGTGTTGACATCTGATAACTAACAAAGTCCTTTTTGAAAAATCTGTTATTTCCTGCTCAAGTCTCGAGAATGGATTTTTAAAAAATCTTTTATTAAGTCTGGAAAACCCATATCTATTCTCTGAAAACTGCAGATGGGGTGGATTCTTCTTGGGGGAGGTTGAATCTGTCCCCTCTTTGGCGATTCCCTGAAGGAGCACAACTCCTTGGGCTCAGACGCCAGCTGTGCTGTCAGCTGTTTGCTTCTCTAGTGTGTGTGGCAGGATATTGCAGAATTCAGGGAAGTTTTCATGTACTGTAATGTTTATCATATTTTTTTGTTTGTAATAAATGTTTTACAGCATTTTTCAGCTACTAAATATTTGAAGAAACGTATTGTTATGCTGCAGCTTTTAACTGACAAAAATGACCAGAGAATACTAATAATGTCAGCTTTCAGATGTTAATAGGAGCTCTGGATTTGTTCATGGACCGTGGTATCTTCTCTTCCTGAGTTTGCCAAGCATTTCATATTATTAAGACTTCAACCTAATGATAACTGAATTACTTTATTCTTTCAATTAATTGATTAATCTTTTGTCTTGAAAAAACATAGTTTCCCAGAACTTTGGGTGGCGCCTTCAAATAACTTTCC